ATATTGTATTCCCTACTATTTTGAGTAAAATAAACTATTAGTTTATCCACTAAAGTCTTCACAATAACAGTATCTTACCTTTTGGTGCTAACACAACTTGATCACTCCTCTTAAGATTACCCCAGTTTCTAGAACTCAGCGTCTTAGTGCATTTTTAATCTGCCACTGTCACAAACCCATTCATATAAAGCCCTTTTTCATTTTGTTACCTCCTTGAACATTACTTCCAAATGAAACCTGATCCCAAGGTCTCCTTCTGTGGGAGTCCAGATTAGTTTGAAGTGTTCAACTCTTGAGTCCTAATGAAGTTTCTTACAGCACCAATTTGAAGAAATACAATGGTACCTTGGTTCACAAACTTAATTTTTTCTGCAATTCTGGCAGCAAACAGAATTGGATGAAAACCGAATCAAATCCAATGGTTACATTTAGTGTTGACCTTATGAGGAAATTTGATTATGTTCTTGTCCAATTCAGTTTGCAACCAGAATTTTGGAAAGAATTAAATCTGAACAGAGGTACCACTCTACACTAGTTGCTCATATTCACTCTAAAGTGATATTCTCTCTCTCTTTCTCTTACTCTCTCACTCTCAGATTGGAAATCAAAGTGAATTCTCTTAAACTGTCATAGACAGAACATGAAATAGAAGATGTATCTTATACCAGGTTGAATCTAGAATGTGACCCTTTTCAAAGCCGTAACACCTATAGAGGACCTATTATCCAAGATGTGCCAAAATTGGGTCTGAGTAACTAGAAAATATGCTCTTGTTATTGAAATCCCCAACTCCAATTTACCCTTCTATTTGGCAATCAGACAGCCCCAGAAATGCAAATTCCTGCCTTTTTGAGTGTGGGGGAAGGTGAAGGAGCTCAGGCTGCCTGCTGCTATTCTGATTACAGCATTTGTTGCTGGGAGAGACAGCTCTGGAATTGGTGCAATTTTTCTCCCCTCTCTGGAAAATGATTTGGTCAGTATCAGGAAGGCCAAGGGGCACCTGCAAATGATATTTCTGCTTAATCCCCCAGTAGGTGTCCACATTTGCAGTCCTTCCAATGTGGCACTGCATTTGGCCCATTTATTCTTGATTTTCCCTCCTTATTCCCACCTCCTGCAAGAAATGTGGCATGGAAACAGGGCAACGCAATTGTGTGTTTTTTTCTTTTAATTTGTTGAAATTGTCTCTAGGCAAAAGTGGGTGGGGGTAGAAAACAGATGGTTATAGCTGGAGTAAAACTCTAGTATGAGGAGTTTTGAGATGCTCAAATCTGATAGAAGTCACTATTTTCTTGCAGAGAAGGAAGGTGAAAAAAGACAGTAGCAAAAGATTTCCAGTAGACTGTTCGCTCTATCTTATGTCCACATACATGTTTCATTTTCTAAAGATCCCATCAGCTATGTGCTAGAGCAGATTCTCTTGGGGGGGGGACTGGAGGGATCTGTTAATTATAATGAAAGGGGTTTATATCATGGGACTTTAAAAATTTATAAATGAGTTATCACACATTTCTCTTTAGAACCCCTTAGCCCCTCAGTTGCCTTTCTCCTCACCATCTCCACATCCCCACCAAATTCCAGGCACCTGATGTATTTGTCCCTCAGTACCTCCTGCTCCTTACACATGAAGGAGAGAATAAATTGAGCAGAGACAAAGGAAACAGTCAAGGAGCTGGCTAAGTGTTAACTTCTTTACCTTCTTATATTTGGGGAGAGGAAGCCAACAGGTGAGCCTTTTCACACTGGTCTCTGGGCCATCTAAAGACCCAAAGGATCGCAGTATACAAAGATGGAAGGAGGCTGCATGGGGAGCAACTCCTCCTTCCCCTAGTGTCTAGTAGAGAAAACTGACTCTATCTTTTGTGAAGTAATGTGCAAATGCAGCTGAATATATCTACTTGTTAGGTTTTGTTTTTCATCCCCAACCAAATACATGATGTCTTTCCCAACATTACTCTGACCCCAGCAAGGTGTCCTATAATTCAACACATTTCTGTCACTAACAACCCTGAGTTAGCAATGGATTCAACCAGTTTTATAGGCCAGTCCTGCAAGACTGCCCTCACTTCAGATGCCAGTGTTAGGTCCCCCAATTACCCTATCCTCTGTCCAACTTGGCTACCAATTCAGGAATTCTTATAAACCTTGCTGTCAGGTTCCATAATTTGCTACAATGACTCACAAAATTCGGGAAGCATTTTACTTACTGTTGGTGGTTTGTTATGAAGGCTACAACTCAGAAACAACCAAATAGAAAAGATTCAAGGACAAAATAAGGGGGGAGCATGTAACATCCACATCCATTCTGGCTATGACAGCCTTGCAGCACCTAGATGTTTTCACCAATCCAGAAGGTCCATCATCATTTAAGAGTTTTTAATGAAGCTTTCTTTATAAAGATATGCTTAACTGAGTAATGGCCACTCTTATTTCACTCACTTAGTTCCTTTCCCTTCCCCAGAGGTTGGGAAGCAGGGCTGAAAGTTCCAAGCTTCTAGTTGGTCTTCCTGGCAACAAGAGGCTCTTATTACCTTTACTGTTAATGTAATTTCCAGGTGTTTTAGTCTGTGCCAGGAACCCAGGGCAATGGCCAAATATCTCTTTTATGAGATATCACCTGTCCTATAAAAACAAAAACAAAATCAAAAACCTCTAGAACCACAGATGTCAGCCTTCCTAGCTATTTCTGACTCTCTCTGTGGATTTTCCATAGCCCTAGAAACTTCTGATTTATTTTTGATAGGCTTTTCAGCATAAGTAATTGTCCTGTGGCTGATGCCTTTAACTTCTCCCTTCCAAGCCATTCATGGGAACAAGCATTCTCAGGGCATAGAGTTGAATGTCCATACCACTTCCACTACCTCCCTGAGGATCTGAGGAAGTCAGTGGGAAGGGTGAACTTAAGAAGCTGAGGGCCCAGCCCCCAGCTGCCATTCCATGCGCTAGCTGATGGGGAGATGGGGAAAGACCAGTTGGTGACTGCCTTCTGTCAGGGCGGGACTGGGACTCAGGCCTGCTGAGGGGCTTCCCCTACTGCTGCCATTTGGGAGAAGGCCTGGTGTGAGACGAAAGCCCCAGCTCCCTGCCTTGCCACATGAATGTATTCTTTGGTTCCCAAGCCCCCGCCTTGCCCCGAGAGAAGGGGCACAGCGATTTCTCCAGGAGCTGGGAAGGCACCACTTCATGGCTGAGTCTTTGCTGTTGAGAGGGGCAGGAGAGCCTCGAAGGGCCAGGAGTGGGCAGCTCAGGGCTGAGGCTGCAGAGCAGGGGACTGTCACAAGAGAGCCTTGCCCTGCAGCCAGCCGTGGCCGTGCGTGCGGGGTGTGGACCTCCCAGCTCTGCGACTGACCCCTCATTGACCAAATGGGAGAGGACCAAGAGGCCTCCCCTCTACCTGTCTTAAATGCTGGGTAAGGCTGAGGTCCAGAGTGGAGGTGTGCGTCTCCTGTTGCTCACTGACTTCTAACCCCTGCCTGGGCTTGTCTCCATTTTTTTTTTTTCTTTTTTTGTAGTTTGTCTAATCTTTTGCATTCTCATAAAACTTTTCCCATCGACCTCATTGCTGAGTGCAGTATCAGGGCTAGACTGCTGCTGCCTCCCTCCATGAATGTATTGCTCCTTACTGCCCTGGAGAAGTGGGGAGCTGCCCCAGTTTCTTTCCCCATCTATCTCCAGAGAGTATTTTTTTTTCTTTTTTTTTGCACCAAAGTGGCAACTGGGTCAGTGTTGGGGATAAAGCTGGCCTTGGGGTGGCAGGGCCCCTCCACCTGCTCCTCCCTGGTTTCAACAATGTTAGTGTCCATGAAAAGACAATATTCTCTCTAAAGCAATAAGGAGATGATGGGCCAGGGGTAAATGTCTTGCTGCTGCTGGCTCCCCAGCTCCCCCTTCCCTCTTGCCAGTGTGGAGGCATTAGAGGGGTAGGGGAGACTCCTGTTGTGACTGAATGTAACTGCCCTGCCCCTGCCACAGCCAATGCAGGGGAAGGGGGGACACTTCCTGTCTCTTCCTGCCCCTTTCCCCCAGAGCTAAAGAGACTTTGAGTTGGGGGACCCAGGAGCCTGGAGAGGCCTTAGCCCCATAAGGAAGTGTAGGAGGAGTCTTCTCCCATCCCATCCCCTCTGAGAGTGGTCAATGTTTACCAGCCCTAAGCCCTGGCCAGGGACTAGGGTCCCATTGCTGTCCTGTCCCAGTCTTCCTGGGACCTGCTGCCCTCCTCCTGGGATTGGGGTGGTCAAAGGGTCATTCTGTGTTCCCACGTCTGCCCTGTACCCACAATCTCCTGCCCTGCCTCCCTGTGTGACTTCCCTTCTGCCTGCCCCGTGTAAATACTCCTAAGAAAACTTGGTGTGCGTTCTCCCTGTTAAAAAAAAAGCTGAGGGCCTCACTCTCACCCTACCCTCTTCATGAAGGCATCCATCCCTCTTTCCAGGACCACTTCTATTGGCCTCTGGGTCACTGATGTCCTAGGAGAAAGGGTCACCTTGAGTGTCCACGGAAGTCTATTGCCTCCTACTTTTAGAAGTCTCTGGGAAAAACTCTTAGAGCGGGTCTTGAGACTGCGATACAAGGACAAGAGCTTTACTTGTTGCAATGGGATGCGGATGAGGACTAATTTAAGCAAAGCCTCTATGCTTTTGGCCTTATCAACCTTTCCCATGAACAAAGACAAAACAAAAACAAAACTCAGAGAAGCAAAGCTTTTCTTTTATGTTACCAGGAGATCTTCCTTTTGAAGCAAAATCCTCACTTCCTTCTGGCAGTCACCTGGTCTCAGAGGTCCAGGGCCTCACTTCCACATTGGTTTATTTGAAATTCATGTTTACATCTCAGCATGTGGCAATGTGTTCCACTCTGATGACACTTTTCGTTTCTAATAATAGAGCAGATGAAGTAATATTGCAATTGATGTTCCCGGGGATTTGATTGGATAAGTGCATAAACTGTGGTGGGGGAAGGGGTTTGTGTGGACGGATCACATTAGTATTCCTGTCCTATCAATGTGCGGGGCCGCGACCAACGTCAGCCAGACCGATTTCCTGCGTCTGCCAGTCCCGCCACGGATTCTTTTGGGATCCTTAAACAAGGAGCCCTTAGAGAGGAGGGATTAAGGCAACAGATTAGAGCCAATTGCCTGCTGCGGGGACGGCCAGCCCTTCCAGGCCTGGCCGCCGAGGGGAGAGGAAAGATGAACTGAGCACCGCTGAGGGAAGACACTGAAGCAAGAGCGACTCCCCCTCCCGCCCCCCACCTTGACGAGCAGGCTTTGAAAGCTGCTCCCCCATCTGAATGGAAACTGGGCACCGGCGGGCAACGCGTTCCTTCTGGCTCAGCAGGGCGATCCATGCTGAGAGGAAGGTGCTGCGAGTCCGCGCCAGCGCCCAGCTCTCGGGACAGGGCCGGCAATGCTGCTGAGCAGAACTTGATCGGGCCCCTTCCTCGCTGCTAGTGGAAGCGATGCTGCGCGGCGCAGCCGGCGCTTCCCCGGTTCTCCTTCAAGCTGAAGGTTACCCACCCGCGCAGCCAACTCCAGCCCTGTGAGCAGCGCGCCTCGGGTCCTGGCTCCGGCTGCTTGGCCGCGGCGTGCAGGGCAACCACCGGGCCGCCCGCGCAGGGGCGCACTGCACCAGCGGCTTCGGTTTGGTGGATGTGTATGCATGAGTTCTGCACCGAATGGGCGCAAAAAGCGCCCCAGCCGGCCCACCCGCTCCTCGATCTTCCAGATCAGCAAGCCCCCGCTGCAGAGCGGGGATTGGGAGCGCAGGGGCAGCGGCTCCGAAAGCGCCCACAAAACCCAAAGAACCCTGGACGACTGCAAGATGGTGGGTGAAATCTGCACCTTTTTTTTTTGAGAAGGGGTGGGGGAGTCATCTATGGTAATCATTTGGTTGAGTGCCAGACACTTCCCACCCTCGGCTCCTCCAGGCCGATCACGTGCACACGTACTATTTTTAAATCTGCAGTCCCCCGATTCTGGGCGACACCCGGGTCTGCTCATAATGGCCCTATGGAGAGAAGTGTCACTGCCAGAGCCTTGGGGGTCAGAGGCTACACAGGTTGTTTCTATCCCCTGGAAAAGCAGTGGAGGGGAAAGGCAGGGTAACTGGCTCGCTCCGGGAAAAAGGGGTGGGGAGGTGGAGGCGTTGCTTTGTGGGGAGACAGTAGCAAACAACCCCAAAGAGAGCGCACGGGGCGCTGCGGAGGGAACGAAGGTTCCAGCGCAGAGGCTGTGGCCACTCTGCCAGTCAGGCTCCAGCCAGGGTGTTCAGGGGCCCAGCCGCAGGTGAACGGTTTGCCTATTATACCCTACTCTCCGTCGTTTTCCCCAGTGCCACTTCAAATCCATGTCCTAGCAGCAACAGCGGGAAATGACCCTAGTATCTCTATCTAGTGACCTGGGAGTGACAGGATAGCTATCCAAATACGCTATGCACTTGCTATTCAGAAACTTGAGTCTGGAGGGGTGGGGGCCAACAGATCTGCAAATGGCCAAGCTTGATGGTGGAAAACAGACATTTGTTTTGTGCCTTAAGCTTTGAACAATTTACAGATTTCTAAACCTGGAGATTAGGGGAGCTGGCTCAGAGGTCAGTGAGATTTCCTGTTTATGGACATCGAAACAGGAAAACTTTGTGATGATAAAAGTGTGTGATGGAAGAAATCGGCTTCTTTTCCAGCTTGTCCAAGAGTTCAACACACAAGTGGCCCTGTACCGAGAATTGGTCATTTCTATTGGGGACGTCTCTGTCAGCTGTCCCTCACTCCGGGCAGAAATGCACAAGACGAGAACCAAAGGCTGTGAAATGGCCCGTCAGGCACACCAAAAACTGGCTGCCATCTCAGGGTAGGAGGCTTTTGGCATTATTTTGTAATTTGTGTACATGATGCATAAATGTTTGACAGAATATTATGGTGACCAAGGCCTCAGAGACGATGTCTGCAAATTGGGAATTTTATCCAAGCACCCCGAGATTAGGATTCTCCAGGAACACACACACACACACACACACACACACACACACACACACACAGAAAGAGAGATTTTTCAATCATTAAGTGATTTTTTTTCTTTAAATTAACTTTCAACTTTAATTTAACTTTAAATTAACTTGCCTGCAAACTGGAATTTAGTATTTAATATTTAAGGGAGATACTTGGGCATCAAAGTGAAGGTAAATCATCATACTTCAAGATTATTTTGTCATCTGGTACCAAATGTAAGATCTGTGCTATAGAGAGAACAACTTTGCTAAAACCATTATACCATGAGATAAATTTCTATGACACCGCTTAAAATCCCTAAAATAAAGTCTAGGATATAAGTTACTTTTTTCACTGTAGTGATATGAAAGGGAAGTTTTAACATAAGTTAATTTTCTATAGAATAGGGAAATTCACAAATCTAGGTAAACTTCAACTGTTTTTGTCCCTCCCTGATATTTATTCATTTTGATAACATTTATGTCTATGTAAGGTGATAATAGAATGAGTTAAAACTTCTCTACTGGGATCTCATATATTCAATATTACGAGAAAACTTAGCCAGGGTTTTTTTAAGCTAGGTACTTATAACAAGGAAACACAGGAATCCTCGTACAAATTCAATTAGGTTCTTGGTGCAGTCATGAGACAGTCTTTATCTGTTATCTGTATGAATATAACTTTACTAAAATAGAAATCAAATTAGTCAGGTTCACTTGATAATGTTGCAGACGGATCACTTATAGGAATTATACCTAATATCTCTCTTTGCCATCCTTAATGTCAATAGTGCATATGTATAGTGATTATTACTGGTGTATAAAGATTAGAAAACCATATATTGCCTCTCTTAATGAATTTACGTTTGATAACAGACATTGTATATCACAAAAAGATACATCTTTCTAATTTCCTCAAAGTAAAGGATAAACAAAAGGTTACAAACTTATTTTAGTAGGACTGAGAAGCTTTATCCTTTTCCTTTATTCTGTACTTAATAGCAAGTGAATCTGAGAAGTGAAGAGGAAGTGTTTCAAGAAATGCAGCTGTGATAAATCCCAGACAAGTGGAGAAAAAACAATGAGAAACATGAAGGGGATTAGTGATGAACTGCAAAGTATAGAGAAACAATGACCCAGAAGGAAAGCAGTTTAGAAAGGGAGTTTTATGCTCAGGGATTTGGCAAAGCATCTCCATAACATTTATGTCCAAGGTTACAGGATGGTGCTACATTCTAGAGAATGTACATACAATCAGAGAAGGTGGACTGGAGAAATGAACAGAAAGTTCAGTTTATTTTGCTATCACATGAAATTCAGTTCTTTTCAAGGATTAGGGAAGAACAAGCCTGAAAAACTATTGGCCAAAAGTTGAGTTTTGAAGATTAGAGGTGGACTGTATTTACTCTGGGCTTTGTAGCCCTTTGCTACTTGCTTACCTGTTATCTGAGAGCTGGTATTAATGGGAGCAGTTTTATAGGAATTAATGGGAAACTATGGTGTTCCTTAGATCCTTGCAAATGTAAGGATAACTCCATTAAATGTAAGGATAACTCTATAAAATGGTCTGAGGTAGAATTTGACACATTTTTTCCCTTTAAAAATTAAATGCAGCTTAATGTTCTTATAAAAATGATAGCAATGTAATCGAAGGAAATCCCTTTAGTTCCACACCATCTGGGCTCCATTAATGAAGGATCTGATTCCCTTTGGCCGAATTTCTTTTCTGATATTGCCTGCTATGTGGGTTCTCATTTCAAGCTTCAAAGACTGGGGTGTAAAGATTCACTTTACAGTTTAAAGGTGGTGAGAAAAACAAAGATTTCTGGGAAAAGTGGAGAGAAAAACTGGATGTGAGTACCCAGTCTGCTATCACAATCCAACTAATTCATAAATAGTCATCTGAGGGAGAGATTATTACCCCTATTCTATAAGTAAGTCTCAGAAAGATTGAGGTATTTGCCCAAAGACCCAGCTAGGAGGTGTCACAGCTTTGATTCAACTTCATGTTTCCATGCTTGTGAAATAATTCTTTTTTCTCTAAGTAATGCTGCCATTCAAAAAGGTGTTACATAAAAAGGAAAAAATACTAATAATGCTAACATATGGGTAAACCTTAAAAAGAATAGGCTAACTGAAAGAAGCCAGTCACAAAATACCATTCATTATATGGTTCTATGTATATGAAATGCCAAAAAAAAACCCCAAATTTATACGGAGAGTGGACTAGTGATTTCCTGGGATTGGAAGTAGGAATAGGTAGTGACTGAAAATATGCTCAGGGAATCATTTTGGGGTGATGGAAATATTTCCAAATTGGACTGAAGTGATGGTTGTGCCACTCTGTGTATTTACTCAAAATCATTACATTGCTCACTAAACTAAGTCAATTTTACATGTAAAGAATACCTCAGTAAATTTTTTAAAGGTATTATCACCATTGCAATTAATTCTCGGTCTTTTTTAGCTTTATTCTTTTCTACAGATGTAGCTTGTAATGACAGTTTATGTGTAATAGGGATGAAAGAAAAATAAAACTTGGCTCTCCATGCATTCACCAAGATGCCTGCCCATTATCTATCATCTAAGTACCAATGCTTTGCTCTTTGTAGGAATACAGGAGGAGAAAAGGCAGGGCTTGAAGGACTAAGTGAATTCACTCATTTCTTACCAATGCAGATCAGCCTTTTAGTCTACCAGCTGAATCTAGGCCCAGAGGAGGGAAATAGAATTGAAGGTAGACTAAAAAGAACAAGAAGTGAGATAAAGAGTAAAATTATGGATTAAAATTAAACCACAAATGCTACAACCTTTCCACCTTTGACTAATTGAACCCCTCAAAGAATAATAGTGACCACAAGGAAAAAACCCATCATGTGTATCTCACTGGTCCTGGGTGAGAAGGCCATGTTCACTGAAACTATGAAACACTTTCTCAAATCGTGTTTGGATTAGTAGCTGTTCAGGCTGTTAGAGGTGTCGAGTGTCTTGGTTAAACCCAGCCAAGTGAATCAGAAGTCTTTGGTATGACTTACCAAAGTTATTATACCTTTGCAGCTTGAACCCTATATTAGACATTAAAGCTTAATGCACCTTAAAACTCACTTGTAAGAGTGATCCCAAAACTTTTTTAACAGCAAATCTTCCCTTCAATCTAAATGTGGAAAGCCAAATTTATAAATCAGCTCACATGTGCTGTTTGAGTGGCGCACGTGCGAGCGTACATGCATACACGCATGTGATGTGCCTGCATGCATATCAGGGGTGGGCAGTAATTTAGGCCCTGGTTTCCTTGGACTTGCTTCCAAAGTGACTTTTTAGACATCTTCAAAGAATTCCTAGTGAGGCATGGCACTTTATATTTGAAGAGTCTGAGATTTAGAAGATTAAAATGACTTTAGAGGCAACTTGGGAGAGTATATACATAAAGATTTTGGAGTCGGACAAACTTGGCCTAAATATCACTTAGGATCTTGATTGCCTTAATGCTCTGATTCTCAGTCCCTCATCTGTAAACTGGGTGCCATGCTATAGGGTAGTTAAGAGAAGCCCAAGGGAGCTCAGTATATAGAGCAGAGATGATGTGCTCAACCTGTTGCATGGCATGTTGCCCACTGAAGGCTTCTCTGTGACTAGACCCTGGCTCTCTTTCTCCCTGGTCTAATGACTATTCCATCAACCATACCTTATGCCTCAGCCTCCTGAGTACTGGGATTACAGGCATCTGCCACCCCACCCGGCAACCTATTTTTGAACCTTCGCATCCGCTTATCATTTGTAAAATGAAGAGCACAGCACACAAGGGAGGGTGACCCACAAGAGTCATCATTGTCCAGCAAACCCTGGTAGCTGCTGTAGCTGGTGGGCTGGTGGTTGGGATTCCCTTTCTAGTGCTTTCTTGTGCTGTCTGTTAGACTGAATCTGCCTCACACCAAAACTTTCTGTTAATGGCTGCTGAAGAAAGTCATAGTATAGAAGGGCATCCACCAGATCTTAAAAATGAGGTTTAAGCATATTAATGTAAGAAACAAAATAATATGCTAGGAAGGAGTATTGAATCTAAATTAGATTTTATCTGGATAAAATGCTGGCTTTACCACTTTCCCAAAACACATGGATGAGTTGATAATGCGAATTGCTTCACAGAGCAGCAAGTGGCCACCTGATACAGTGGCTAAGTAAAGAGACTTTGAGGCTAGATTGGCAGTGCTACTGTTCACAAGTAGCATGACTTTGGACAAAGGTATTATCTCTTTCTGTCACAGTTCCCGAATCAGCAGTATGGGATCAATAAATAATAGCACCATAGGGCCGGGGATTTAGCTCAGTGGTTCTGCCACCTGCCCCGCATGCGCAAGGTCCCGAATTTGATCCGTGCTACCAAAAAAGTAATAAATAAATAAATAAATAAATAAATAATGGTACCAAACCACAAGGTTTTGTGAGGATCAAGTGCTCAGAAAGTTGCCTATTGCATAAATATTAAGGCATTTAAAATTCAAATTATCCAGATACATTTATATAAAAATGTATATTAATTCACCAAACATTTTTCAAATAAATGTTTTGGCTGGAACAAATTTTTATTTGCTTTTCTTTCTTACATTATGTTCTGAGGATTTTTCTGTTAAAATTTCCTAGAGGGCTATTATCAAAAGGCCTGTTCTTAAACATTTTACCAATGATAAATGGATGTGAAGGTTCAAAAACAGTTAGGTTGTCAGGTGGGATGGTGCACACCTACAATCCGTGTACTTCAGATGCTGAGGCAGGAGAAATGCCATGAGTTTAAGGCCAGACAGGGCTACATAGTGAGCTCAAAGTCAGCCTGGTCTATACAGTGAGACCCCATCTCAAAAACAAG